GATGGGGTGGGGTGGGGTGGGATGAGATGGGATGAGATGGGATGAGATGGGACTCAGCATCCGGAGTCATTTCCTCCTCTTTCCCTCTCATCTGCTGCATACAGAAAACAATTTATTTCAGAAATTAAGTAATCAGAAAAGAGTGGCTCCAAATACATCCTTCAAGGATGAATCTCATTGTGTAACATGAAATCTCCCAGCAACCAAAGCACAAAGTTTTTACATTGACTTTTTTAAAGTTTAAATTAGTTCAGAAAATTTTGGCTTGGAGCTATTTCTTGACATGTGTACAAATTATTTTAACTCCAGGGATAATCACAAATCAATTCAAAACAAGGGCTTAATATCTGAAAACATAGCAAAAGGTGGAGGTGTGGCTCAGTAGTAGAGAGCTTACCTAGCATTCTCCCAAAGGCTGTAGCTACATATTTCAGCCCAGAGATAACAAACTACAGGACAATGGCATCATGTTTCCAATCCTTCTCACAGACTAAGGACACATCTGTATCTCATGGGAACACGAGTAAAGACCACATTGCAACCACTTGTCCTTAGATGATCACTGGCACAGAAAAGCCACTATGTTCAGCATCAATCTACAGTATCTCTTTCTCACCATTGGGTTCTGCTTCTTTCCTTGCAAAACCTAAAGGCTTTTAACACTGCTTTATGTATGTTTCTGGCTCTCATTTGAAACTTGGTTAAAAACAGCCAGCAATAATCATGGCACAGCCTGATTATTGGGATGCTAAGAAATTTAATTTGCCTATCATCTTTAAAATATGCCCCCCACAGTCTCAGGGCGTAGGCAAAGCGTAAACAAGGTTTTTATAGTCAGTGGCCTCCAATTCCCAAAAGAGTTCCAGTTCCTTTCTAAAATTTCATGATCATAATCTTTGCTACCCATAATCCTCTCAGCATCCTTGTCTTTTGAGAGCCCACTGGAATCACCCATTTAACTCTGCAAACAGAACTCTAAGCTTTCTCCAGTTTGCATCTCTCAGTGCTTTCAAATCTTTCCTACAAACTAGCCCCAAGCCTTTTGAACCACAGAACCAAGCAGCCGCAGCAACAACCCCACTCTTGGTACCATTTTTTTGTGCTAGCCAGAATTCCAGTAAAGTGATGAAACACTTGGCATAATTTAAAGGATGAAGGATTTGCTTTAGCTCCTGGTTTCAGAGATTTCAGTCCATCATGGTAGGGGAAGCACAACTGAACAAAGAGACTCACCTAATGGCTGCCAGTAATGGAGAGAGAAAATGCCTGTGTCAACAAGATTTGTCCCTCTCTCTTTTCCATTTTATTTGGGTCCCTAGACTATGTGATAGTGCTGTCTACACTTGGGGCATGTGTCCCCCATCTTAATTGATCTTCTCTGGAAACGTCTGTATAGTTATGCCAAGAGTTGTGTTTTGTTTTTCTTTGAAACAGGGTTTCTCTGTGTAGCCCTGGAACTAGCTCGGTAGATCAGGCTGGCCTCAAACTCAAAGATATCCTCCTCCCTCTGCCTCTCAAATGCTGGGATTAAAGATGTGTGCCAACACCTCCCTTCAAGATGTGTTTTACTAATCTCCCACTTGACTCTCAGTCAAGCTTACCCATTACACCCTGGCCTTCCAGGGAACCTCACTAGGCCTGTGGAGCTTCTGGCTTTGCTGAGGCCTCTGTTGTCCCTATTCTTTCAGTACCCTTTCCTTGTGGGAAAACCACCATAGGACGGATGAAGAGGTCTCTAGTCCAGAACACCAACCACAGTGAGCCTGTCCCTGAAGACTTCATGATGGACTTGGATATGCTGTCCCCTACGGAGAGTCCTTTTGATCTGCTCAACCTCAACCAGACACAACCAGAAAGGGGCACTGAAGACGTTATTAGGATTGTGGGTGGCCGAGAATGCAAAAATGGAGAGTGTCCCTGGCAGGTAACTGGCCTGAGTTAGAACTGGTTGCAATTAGAACAATCCTCTTGTGCTATAGGCTTGTGGGACAATCCACTAAGGGTCAGCAACTCAGACCTGCAAGGGTCCTTACCAGTGGTCATCATTCCATATCTAGTGTGAGAATTTATTTAAGCAAAAACATCTAAATGCTAAGAGGGATAAAATACCCTAAAGAAAGTCCCATCTATTTATGTTCAAAATGTTTGTTTCCAAACACTCTCTGGTTTTGACATGGTTTAGGGCTGCCAGACTTAGAAAAAAATCCCAAGCCCTTCAGTGAGACTTGAGCCTCCTGCAATGAACACCCCCTGATGTAAATGCCTCAACGCTGTTGGGAAATGCTCATCCACTCTCTGACCCCAGCTTGGCAGGATGCTCTGAATCTCTTCCATCATCTTCACTGGCACTTGAGGCTTTCAACTTGTCTAAATGCCTATCCTAGAAGCAAAAACCCGAGAGCAGTGGTTCTCAACCTATGGGTTACAACCTTTTCTGGAGTTGCATATCAGATATCCTGTATATCAGATTATTTACATGATGATTTGTAACAGTAGCAAAATTACAGTTATAAAGTACACAGTATAAAGTATGAAATAATTTTATGGTTGCATGGGTCACCACCACATAAGGAACTGTATTAAAGGGCTGCAGCTAGGAAGGTTGAGAACCACTATCCTGTAGTCACCAGCAATCCCCAGAGATCACCTAGACACCCTGCACCTACAGGGCACTAGCAGGAGTGGCTGACCAGAGGCAGGAGAAGCAGCCCCAGCTTGTGTGTAACTCTCTGGACAGACTTACTGAGAACTTGCTGGGACCAGAAAAGCTGCTGTGTGTGTCGACTATGAGATCACTTATTGGCAGGGAGGCTGGAGAATACTCCTGGGGGCCATGAAGGAGTCTGGTTAAGAGAGATTTGCTCCTAGGCCAAGATTTGATTCTTTCTTAGGAAAAACATGTGGAGTTGGGTCTTGGACCGCCTTCCTCTCCCTTGTCACTCAAGCAAGGTTTGAGTTTATGTAATTATCAAAGATAAATAGGGGCCAGGAAGATGGCTCAGTGGTTAAGAGTGAGTACTCCTTTCACAGAGGACCAGAGCCCAATTCCTGGCACCTCTATCAGGCAGCTCACAGTCTCCTATTTCAGGGCTGGCTGGTGGGGGCTGAGAGCAGAGCCTTGCTGTGGGTAGAATGCATGGGTTCTCTGCCAGGCTCAGGAATTTGATTCTAGCACTAAGGGAAAGGTACCATGTACTCTCTAGGAAGCAGACAGGCAGAAGGGACAGGCTCTTTGGCAGTCCAGTGGAGACACGCATGTAAGGCTCCTGGAAAAGGCTCTGTGAGACTTCTCAGAGAGCCCACACGGCCTAGGCATCTTGGCATGGCCCTCACGCAGACCATAGGCCATTTGCAGACACTCTATTCTGGTCACAGGCTCTGCTCATCAATGACAACAACGAGGGGTTCTGTGGGGGCACCATCTTGAATGAGTTCTATATCCTCACGGCGGCCCACTGTCTGCACCAAGCCAAGCGATTCAAGGTGAGGGTAGGTAAGTGACACCCCAGCCCTGGGGACAACACCATCTCAAGCCCTAGGAATGCTATTGTCCCTCTGGAACACATGGGATGTGCTAGCAACACTTGCTCAAATACAGAATCCCTGTTGGAGACTGAAAATTCATCTCCTAGGAGGAGGGTCAGAGAGAAGTAGGCAGGCATCTACAGACTTCCCCGGGACCAGGCCATTCCTCACAGAGACTTCCCTCTTCAGTGCCATCCATGGCACTCCTCTCTTAGTGTCCTTTTCTCAAAAGCCTTCCCTGACTGCCTCTCTCCACAACTCTGTCAGGGTCTCTTTCACTTATGTGTCATTCAGTTCATCTTGATGTTTCTACAGGACCCATGAGCTATCAAGTGAAAACCCAGCACAAGCTTCAACTTCAGTTTGAAAATTCTGGCACATCTCTGCCACAGATTTAACAAGTATAGATAGGTGAGGCTATTCCAGTATCCCGTTTCACACTATGCAGCCAAAGCCTTGACTTCCCCTGTGTATAGAAATAAGTAACTCCCTCTGTGAGTGAGATGTTACCGCCTTCTCCTTTCACAGTCAGTAGCTTTGCGCTTTCAGTTTATCTCACTCAGCTCAGACTGCCTGGGCCCTGGTAAGCAGCCCAGGTCTGGAATAGAAGACCTGGCCCTGGGCAGATTGACAGACCCAGCTTGCAGGAAATACTCAGGGAACATCTGCCAAAGCATGAGGAATTGGAAAGAACTGGAGTCCTAAACCTTTCCACAAAAATATGAGCAGGGGGCTGGAGAGGTGGCTAAGTGGTTCATAGTACTTACTATTCTTGCAGAGGACCTGGGTTCAGTTCCCAGAGCCCATATGATGGCCCACAACTGTCTGTAACTCCAGTTCAGAGGGGATCTGATGCCCTGGACTCCACAGGCATTAGGCATGTCCACATACATACATACATATGTAGGCAAGCACTCATCCACCTAAAATGAACATTTTAAAAAGTCTTTAAAAATATGATCAGAAGGTGAAACCCTGGAAGGAAGGCAGAGGTCCTTTAAGGACCTTTAGTCTCTCTATAGAGAATAGGCTTTGCTTGAATTTGCAAACATCTGCCTCATCCTTCTGAGTGCTAGGAACACAAGCATACACTCTTTGACTTGGGTCTGTTTTTTATTAGGAAAAAAAAAAACCCTTATTTTGTGGGGTGGGGGAAGGGTTTATTTGGCTTACACTTCCATACCACTGTTCATCATCAAAGGAAGTCAGAACAGGAACTCAAACACGGAAGGAACTCGGAGGCAGGAGCTGCTGATTCAGAGGCCATGGAGGGGTGCTGCTTACTGGCTTATTCCCCATGGTTTACTCAGCCTGCTTTCTTACAGAACTCAGGACCACCAGCCCAGGGTTAGCCCCACCCACAATGGACTGGGCCTTCCCTCATCAATCACTAATTGAGAAAATGCCCTACAGGCTTGCCTGCAGACTGATCTTATGAAGGCATTTTCTCAATTGAGGTTCCCGATTCTCTGATGATTCTAGCCTGTGTGGAGGTGACTTAAGAACAGCTAACTCATTCCCTCCCTTCCTGCCTTCCTTCCTTCCTTTCTTCCTTCCTTCCTTTCTTTTCTTGTTGAGACAGGATCTGGTTATGTAGCCCTGGCTGGCCTGGAACTTCCTATGTAGATGATGCTGGCCTCAGACTTACAGAGATCCTTCTGCCTCTGCCTCCTTCCTGATGGGACTAAAGGTATACTTCTTTAAAAGCAGCTGATATACAAACACCTGGTCCTCAGAGAACTAACTGCCACCAGCTCTCCCCTCCCTGTCTCTCCCTCCCTGCCCCCTCTCCCCCCTCCCTCTCCTCCTCCCCCTCCCTCTTTCTCCCCAGGGGATCTTAACACAGAGCTGGAGGAAGGCAATGAGATGACACATGAGGTGGATGTGGTCATAAAGCACAACAAGTTTGTGCTCGATACCTACGACTTCGACATCGCCGTGCTCAAGCTGAAGACTCCCATCATATTCCGCATGAACGTGGCCCCTGCCTGCCTGCCTGAGAAGGACTGGGCCGAGGCCACACTGATGACACAAAAGTCAGGCATCGTGAGTGGGTTTGGACGCACACATGAGAAGGGTCGCCAGTCAAACGTCTTAAAGATGATGGAGGTGCCCTATGTCGATCGCAACACCTGCAAACTCTCCAGCAGCTTCACCATCACACAGAACATGTTCTGTGCTGGCTATGACGCCAAACTGGAGGATGCCTGTCAAGGGGACAGTGGTGGCCCCCATGTTACCCGGTTCAGAGACACCCACTTTGTGACTGGCATTGTCAGCTGGGGAGAGGGGTGTGCGAGGAAGGGGAAGTATGGTGTCTATACAAAGGTCACAGCCTTCCTCAAGTGGATTGACAAGTCCATGAAAGCCAGGGTGGTGCCCACATCTGAGATCCCGAGGTCTACAAGTCCTCCCCATTAAAGCAGTTGTCCTCCAGACCTCCTGGGTCACATATGGTGTTGTTTAGTGTTACCACCTGAGCAGGAAGTTTCTCAGGGCAGCTGCCCACCTGCAGCGGTAGACTCTTTGGCTCCCAATCTGATGTTCCCTTAACGTCAAGGTAAAAGAAACAGGCTCTAATTGAGCAAAAGTTTCTCTTCCTGAGCCAGACTGGAGGACTCTCAGGGGATGGAGCCATCTCTGCTCACACTTGGAGGAAGCAGTTTCTGCCCACCAATACTGTTCTGATTTTGAGTGGTCAAACTAATCCTCTCAACTATGTTTAACTCCCTTGAGAATAAATGCCCACAGCCTTAGACATGCCCGTGTGTGTGCATGCACGCGCGCGCGCACATGCACACACACACACACACACACACACACACACACACACAGTAGGACAGGGATGTTAGCTCCTCAGTAGGTGCTTTAGGTCAGGGGCCCAGACTCTGATATGCCTTTGCTTGGCGAGAGAACCCTCACTCTCACTCTCCTCTGGGAATTAGACAACATAGAATTGCTGGTAACATGTCATCCACTGAAAGAAAAGAATCCCTGGAAGATCGACTAAGATCTTTGTCTAAAGATAAAGGGACCTTTTACCCAGATCCAAGCCAAGGACCAGCCCTATGCTGGGCTGCCTTAGAGTGCATGCAGAAGTCTTCCTGAACTGTGCTGTCTGGTGAGTGTGCATGGACTCTGCAGAGCTGAGTGGTGTGTATGTATGTGTGCAGTCTCTCTGAGCTGGCTGTGTGCTAAGTGTACATGCAGTCTCTCAGGCTGGGCTGCCTGGTGAGGGGGCCTGGAGTTTCCCTGAGCTAAACTTGGCATTGAATGTGCATAGGCCCTTCTTCCTGAACACATTATTGGTTCATCAAGTGCTAATAGTGACCCTATCCCCCAACACATGGGTCTTAGCCCTGGTATGATTAGGAGACCCCAGATGGGTCTTTGCAAAGCTTAAATCCTGGCCTTACCCCAGATATTAAATTCTAAGTCTCTAGAATGGGCCTAACCACAGAAATTTCTGGAACTCTTCCAGATACTGTCCTGCCACAAAATCAGGTGTCTTCCCTCTCTAGTCTTCCATTGCTCCCAAGCCCTAAGTTAAATGTTTGTGAAAACCAAGCCTACTTTCAGTAAATAGACTAGCATTTTTTCCAAAAGTTTTCCTATAGTTTGCACTTTGCATAACTTTTCTAAGCAAAGTTTAAAGGTTCTAGTACAAAACTTCCTCCAAATCAAGAGCTGGACAGATTGTAAACAGATTTTGCAAGGTTGGGTAAAGTCAACAAAAACAGCACTCGATTTCCTAGAACTGAGAGTGGAGCTGGAGTCTGAGAGCAGCACTGAGCTATGTAGCCACAGCTGGGTCAGTGGTGTGGACACTGGAGAACACCTTCTCCATATCGTAGCCCAGTGGGCCTGCATGCATGTCAGCAGTGGGAAGGCCACAGCTTCACCCACCCCTGTGGATGGACTTTGTGGCTGTACTTAAGAACAAGAACTCCCTGTTCTCCAACAACCCCGGGACAAGATCAGCACCCACACAGGTCCCTGTACCAACAGAAAGACAAGCACAAGAGTCTGTGTGGGTGTGGGGGTCATCCCACAGGGACCCTGAGCAGACATTTGAAAGTGAACTTACTCATGAGTGCTTCATGTTAGACATAGATCACCACCTGAAATATTAATTACCAATAATTTCAAAGCAAATGGAAATGCCAGCACCCAGACCACCCTGAGTGTCAAGGGCCAGGAAGGTAAACCCTAGGTTCAGTGAGACACCTCCCCTTGTGACTCTGGCAATCAGGATCCAGGCTTCCTGTGGTGCTGGCAGTGTGGACACAGGCTCCCCGGGGTGCACTGGGGACCCAGGGTTTTTGTGGTACTGGTGATGAGAGTGCAGGTTCCCAGGGTAGATGATGGCAGTTTCTAGACTGAGTGCAGAGAAGAGAGTAACCTCACTCGGCCCTGCTCCTACCTTACACTTCTTGATCCAGAAACAAGACCTAGCAAATGGCAGGAGAAATGACTTTGTTCCAGATGGTGGCTTTCACGGAGGCCACGCCCCTCCCAGACATCTTTGATGTTTTTTCATATCCTGGATGGATTGGAGAAGCTGGTAGAGATGCTGTCTACCGGCCCCCAGACCAGCACGGGGAGGTACCCATGCCTAGAGAATGGGTGAGTGGGGAAGTCAGAGACACAGATGGACCCAGCATCCCAGCTCTATGCAAGAGGGGCAACATCCTCTGGGAATTTTCTCCCCTGTCTGGACCCCAAATTCATCCAAAGAAATCACTTAAAGTGGTCCTAAGTGGTAGGGGACAGAACAAAGGACAAAGTCCTTCAGAGAAAAAAAAATGTGGTATCATCCAGGTGACATTAGCACACAACTGACAGAAATACCTGAGACTAGAGAAGCTGAAGCTGACAGCTTTTGTTGGTGTCAACTTGGTGACACCTGGAATTAACTAAAACTCATGTGGCTGGGCGCACTTGTGGGGGAATTTTTTCTTGGATGAATCATTTGAAGTGGGAATACCCACCTTTAATCTGGACCACACCTTCTGCTGGCATCCTATGTAAAGGACATGGAAGGAGGAAGCTTGCTCTCTTTACCTGCTTGCCATCACTCTGGCTGTCAAGTCAATTCCTTTACTGGTATTAGAGCCGGCTTCTTTAGACTTCCAGTGTTTATTGAAGACCAGCTGAGACATCCAGCCTTGTGGACTGAGCAGCAACTGGATTCTTGCACTTTCTGTTGGTAGACAGTCATTGTTGGACTAGACAGAAAACAGCTACTCCAATAAATCCCATATATATGTGGAACCCTAAGTAATACAGGCTGCTGAGACATGGTGGTGACTCGGTGACTAATTAGGGACACCTGATGTCTCCATTTTCAGACACCCAGATCATCTGAGGGTATGATACCCATCCAGTATCATACAGCTATAGATACAGCTAAAGAAAATTCCATGGTTGTTACAGAGAAGGGATCACTAGGCTCCTGAAGGGGGTCCTGTTCAAAGAAACAGACCTGGAGTAAACCCCAGAGATCTCAACAGGGGGATAGGGGATTGCAGAGCTCATACTAACTAAGGGACCAGGGGAGCAGCAAGAGCTGAGTTTTAGCTCTTTCAATGAGACGGACTATGTGAAAACTCAGACCCCCACATTAAAAATGTGCTGTTGTGACTTCTCTGATCCCGGTGTTTGTGTCTCCTCAAGGTTCACACACTGACACCGGTCCCCAGTGTAACCGTATGAGGTGGGGACCTTTGAGAGGCCATTGGGCAGAGTCCTCAGGATGTCATCTACTGTTCTGTTTCTCCCCGCAACTGCATGGGGACAGAGCTAGTGACTTGGTCTGTGAAACCCTGGCCACAAGACCCTGACCCTAGCCAGTCTCAGATGTGCAAACAGTGCCCTCATGCTGACCACTGTCCACTTTATGGTTCTTGTTCTCAAAGCCCTGTGGACTGAGCTGGTCAGCCAGGAAGGAGTTCATTCACATGTCATGCTCCAAGAGCAGGTCATCCCTGGAGCCCCTAAACCATGTTTGCTTGATTGGTGGAACCCTTGACTGGTTTCCTGTGTTTTTAATTAAAATCTATTTACATTGTTTCCTCCCTCCATCTCGCCCCTCCAGTCCTCCCCACTCACACCTGTGTTTTCTCTCAGGTTCATGAGCGACCTCCATTTCTTTTGTTGGATATAGATAGGAGATAGACACACACACACACACACACACCCTTTATACAGCCTGAGTTGGATCCCTACTTTCTGTCCTTTTTGTTTAATAATTGAAAGTAGATTTTTTTCATACACTATATTTTGATCCCCCAACTCCTCCCAGATCCCCCGCCTCTCCACTCACCCAAATCCACACCCTTTCTTTCTCCCTGTCATTAGAAAACAAACAAGAAACTAAAACAAAATAAAAAACCCAATAAGATAAAACAAACTTTTTAAAAGCCAAATAAAAAGCACAAGAAACACACACAGAAGATGAGGAGACAGACACTTGCACACACAGAAATCCCATGAAAATGCAAAATCTGAAACTATAATATATAATTCTTCTAGTTTCTTAAAAAAACAACATCACAATATATGTATTCAAGTTAGGCTGCTGCCTACTTTGTTATCTTCGCTTTCTACTTTAATAAACTGTGTTTATAGGTGTCATTAGATTTTGTCCCTGTGAGTATCATTCAGTCAACAAAAGATTCAGGCACCAGCCCCATTCATAGAACAACCCATTAGGTCACGATACTTTTCCCTCTCCTCCTCCAGTCTCCATGTCTACCTCTTCCTCCCACGGTTACTACTAGTTGGCTAACAGTAAATGCAGTAAGGAACCATAATGAGGGTGCATCTCCTACTCAAGCCATCAACATCTGGGTCCATGGGTCACCTAATCTAGCCCTCTATGTGTTTTAAGGCACATGTTGACCACTGTGCCTCCTGGGACCCTGGACTTTGGCTGTTTGCAGACTTTGCCCTGCCCGGGGCCAGCCAGGCTGTGGGTCAGCATGGCTGGCTGCATCTTGCTGCTCCGGGGCCTCATTCTCACCTTCATCCTTACCCTTGTGCTGCACCGGGTGGAGCTTTCAGGTAGGCACTTGATGTTTTATTCTTTTAAAAACATTTTCTTAAAGCTGGTGTCTCTTTCTATAGCCCAAGTTGGTCTGGAACTCACTGTGTAGTTCAGGCTAGCTTCAACCCTTAGCAATTCTCCTGCCTCAGTCTCCCAAGCACTAGGACTACAGGAATGAACCACCAGACTGAGCCATCTCATCCTTGTTGCAGCCCCAGTGGTTCTGTAGATGATATTGTCTTTAGGGGCCTAAAGGACAAGCTACATTCTCATTCTCCCTCCTGAAAGTCGGTGTGGATCTCATTGCCATGTGGTAAGAGCTTCTAAAAGGGATAGGGACCTATTGGGCCATGGACAACCTAAGTTGTGTGGTACAAGACTGGCTGGGCACCCCTTAGCCAAAGCTGGGCTGCAGCCTGTTCGTCTAGACGTCAGGGATGTTCTTTGCCGAAGGACTGCTAGGGACAGTTAGCCTCAGCCTTGATCCACATGGCTCTTTCCACGCTGGAGCATCTAAGCCTTCCATCCCAGCCTCTGAGTCTCTTCTGTGCCCTCTGTCTATCTATGTCCTCCTCTCCCTGACCCCTGACTGCAACCCATGGCTCCTTGGCCCAGCTATGGTTCCAGGCCACCAGTCTTTACTCTCTCTGACTTCTGCACTCCTTCCATCCACACCTCACATTCCTAGTCACTGTTCACTTCATATGTAACAGTTTGTTCAATGCCAACTCCCTGTGAGGGTGGAGCCCACATGGACAAGTCCTGTCTGCTGGCTCTCAGTGCTGGCCCGAGCCCCAGAGCATGACCAAAGTTCTCAGAAAAATCACTGTTGTCAGGGTGAGCTGCTGAGCCTGAGAGTTTTGTGATCCACATGTGCCATGATTTTAGCCAAATGTGATTTCTTGGTACCTTGCACATTGGTGTGGACAAAAATAACCAGACAGCTTGCATACCTGCCCTCCCTTGTAGACAGGGGCTGTGAGCTGAGTGCTTCTGGTGTGTAGGGCTGTGTCTCTAAGCCCTGGGGTGACATCAGTGTTCCTGGGGTGGATACAGCCATCCTACCACCATGCATCTCAGTGCATCTCTGAGGAAATTGTCCTCTCCTCTGACCACTGCCCAAAGTACCCAAGGTGGCAGCATGGTGAGGTAGTACTCCGAGGTCAGTACTCTACTGTGAATGGGCAGGAAGGAAAACCCTGTAGGTCTGAACTCTGTCTGAGCGAGCTCACCTGAGTCCACCCTCATGCAAAATGCTCCAGAACTGTCTGTCTCAGCCTGCCTGCTCAGGACTCCTTCCTACCATGGAGAGGCCACTCAGTCCCTGCATTCGTATAAATGATGTTCACATATGGACACTCTCCACTCTCCAGGAAGCACTTACCTAATGTGTCTGTCCACGGGTGTTGCATTTTTGCAACACCGAGATTGGAAAATACCAGTATAGTTAATGCTGAAGCAAATGATGGTGTGCCTGTCCTATATCCTCTTGCTTCTACATGGACACTCACCTACTGTGGTGGACTGAGCAGACCTCTATTTTATATCCATAAAATGCCAGTGTGTCTGCCCAACTCATAAGGACCATCTGCTTCTCCCAACAGAAAGTACATGCCCAACATAGGAATGACTCACTGGCCCTGAAGACGGGCACAGCCCAGACCCTGCTGATCAGTAGGGAATAGCACGTGTCTGCTGAGGCACCGTGTGAGAGGGGGCTTCTGCTCACACTGCTGCATCCCTCTGTAGTGTTTCTTCCAGCCTCAGAGGCAAACAAAGTTCTGGTGAGATGGAGACGTGCCGGTTCTTATCTTCTGGAGGAAATTTTCCAGGGCAACTTGGAAAAGGAATGCTATGAGGAAATCTGCAACTATGAGGAAGCAAGAGAAGTTTTTGAAAATGACGTCATGACTGTATGTGAGCCTCGTGAGCCCCGCAACCCCCCCCCCAGCAGTGCATGCATGCTTTCTAACTGTTCAGGCCCAGCTGTCTCAGAGGACAGGTTTAATTAGCCTAATTCCTTATGGAGGGGTTGGTATGAGCCTGAATTCCCAGATGAGGAGCCAAATTTAGAGGTAGGAGCAAACTGGCCTCAGCAACAGGTGGGATCATACTCTAGAGTCCTTCTGGTCCAGCTCCCTAGCTGGGAAAACCTGCACATCTTACCATAACCAAATCACCAAACTCCACTGTTTGCACATGTTGGGAGAATTTTAGAAAGGCAAACCTCTTCCCTTATATGCACGTGTACACACAGGTACACACACACACACACACACACACACACACACACACACACACACACACACACACAAAATTTGCCATGATCCACACTCTGGATTAGGTAAGTCCTTTTTTCACACATGTGTATACACTAACAATCAGGTAAGCATTTGGCATTTTTAATTACTCATAAGATTATTGGAAGACAGAAGGAGGGAGCTAAAACTTAAGGGACAGTAACTATTTTGGGTTAAATACTTCAGAATGCAGTTGTAAAATATTTAATAACAATTTCCCAGGCTGGGGTGTGGCATGGTGGTAGAGCGCTTGTCTAGAATGTAATTCTGGTTCAATCTCTAGCATTGCATTAGTTTTACATATTAATGTAGCAATATTTAAAAATGGTTGTGAATAAACATTGGCTTCTTTTTTTAAAGATTTTATTTATTATGTATACAGTGTTCTGGTATGTTTACACCAGATCTCATTACAGATGGTAGTGAGCCACCATGTGGTTGCTGGGAATTGAACTCAGGACTTCTGGAAGAGCAGTCGGTGCTCTTAACCTCTGAGCCATCTCTCCAGCCCCTTTTTTTGTTTTTGTTTTTGTTTTTTTAACATTGACTTCTTATCCATAGAATGTTTATATATTTTTATTATAGTTTCTTAAAGACTCACAGGATGCAGAGAATCCTTCTCAAACTGTACATCTGTCATTTGATGAAAGCAATGGAAGTTTTTTAAGTAGCCCACCCTAAATTTCAATTTGCTGATTTCCTGAGTGAGAGGGAAAGCCACTGTGACATCATCCACACATCTTTAGGAAGTCTGAGTGTGGCTTGGGGACACATCACAGGTCTGAAGAGCTCATTTGGACATCCCACTCCAGCCTCCCCCATGGACCTTTACAATTATAACAGCTTACTTCTATAAAGGAGATGGGGATTTCAGACAATTGCCAGGCATTTCTGTAGAGTGAGGTAGAAAGCAGACAGGAAGGAGGTGCTGTAGCTTTGTGTCCTCACACACAATATCCTTCCTCCCTGTGAGACATGGTAAGTAACCTGGTGTAGAATATTCCACTCCTGCTCAGTGTAAAGAGTCTGTTAAATCACACACAAAAATTTCACATCCTCTGGGTGAGTGAGTGAAACCCATGTTTTCTTACCCTTGAGTCCATCCACAGTAGACAAAATACAGAAAGCGTCCATGGTAGACGGAATACAGAAAGCAACCATGGTGATCTTCTCACCTTTTGCCTTGGCAGGAAGAATTCTGGAGACAGTACAGGGGTAAGTGCTTTCTCAGCTCTCTGTCCTAAGTTAAGGCTCAGGGCAGTCTCCTCTGGTGCCCACAGATTCTCATCCTAAACCTCTGGCTCCTGGGACCTGCTGTCTGCCCAGGGAAGTGCACTGGTCCCAAGGCTCAGACTGCAGGACCACAATGAGGCCTCTGGTTTCCTTGTGCTAATGTCTGGGAGTTCCTAGGCAGCTGGGGCTCAGGTAACAGACAGGAGCCCTTCCCCACCTCATAACTCTTCCTACTTCTGTGAAAGGGCATGCTGTAGGCCAGAAGATGGATCAGATTTGAGAGAACTGTAGCTGTAACCCAGATGTGTGCCTTGGAGTCTGCTCTGTAGGCTCTCTTCAGGAGGAGTATGGGGTGGGCTATCCTCAGGTGTGTGGGGTGGGCTATCCTCAGGTGTGTGGGGTGGGCTATCCTCAGGTCAGGAGGATTGTGGGGTGGGCTATCCTCAGGTGTGTGGGGTGGGCTATCTCAGGAGTGTGGGGTGAGCTATCCTCAGGAAGATTGTGGGGTGGGCTATCCTCAGGTGTGTGGGGTGGGCTATCCTCAGGTGTGAGGGGTGGGCTATCCTCAGGAGGATTGTGGGGTGGCATAGTGGGTAGGTAGAAGCAAGGACACACTTTGAAATGAATAGAAGATCCTGGGGTGCAGAGATTGAGGTCTGGGGACACGTTACACCCAGTGGGTCAGGAAGCACCTGGAACCTGTTCTCCTCTTCCCTAGTGGAGAAAGCTTAGGATGGACCTGTCTCAAGGAGTCCACAGTGGAGTCTCAGAGGCCCTTCTGCCTCCACAGGTGGCTCTCCGTGTATCTCCCAGCCCTGCCTCAACAACGGGACATGCAAGGACCACATCCGTCATTACAGCTGCATGTGCCCCCCTGGCTACGAGGGCAAGAACTGTGCAATGGGTGAGGCACCATCCACGACAGGGCTTGCTGGGAGACAGAGCAGCTCGCTCAGGCAGAAAAGGGTTCCCTGGGGACCTTGATACGCTCATTGCAGGGGACTTCATGGCTCCCCTATCCTACCTCACCCCAGATATCATGCCACAGGTGCTGGCTGAATTCTGTGACCCACTGTCCACCCCTAGCCCTTTTGAAATTTTCATAGCATAGGGTCTTCTTTCCTCCCCTTTCCCAACCAACCCCCCAATCCATAATCTGCACACTAGTTGGGAGGGGTGCACACAGATGTGTCTGACTAACATGCCGGTCAGGAATACTCTAAAGAGAGAAAAACCTAGGCAAAACTTTTTAAGTAGTCTCCCTCCCCACCCCCCACTTTAAGCTACAGAATTTGAATGTAGGGTTTCACACACGCAGGCACACTCTCCTGCTGAGCTACGTCTTCAGGCCTTTTTACTTTCTATTTTTGATCAGGCACTCAATATATTCCCTGATCTGGTCTTGAACTTGCATGGGGCTAGAGAGGTGGCTTGGAGGTTAAGAGGATGGGCTACTCTTCCAGGCTTGATTCCCAGCACCACCCACATGGCAACTCACAACCTTCTGTAACTCCAGACCCAGGGGGACCTAATGCTCTCTCTGGCCTCTGTGGCACTGCACCCGTACAGTACACAGACACATATAGGCAAAACACCCCTCTATATAAAACACCCCTCTACATAAAAAATAAAAATAAAGGAACTTGCCATATAGTCCAGGCAGGCCTTGAACTTATGGTCTTCTGCCCTCAGACTTCAGAGTAACTATGATAAGCAGACCTGTACCACCAGGCTAAGAATAGTCCTTAAATACCAGAGCAAATGACCTCACAGGGCCAAGGGAATAGGTTCCTGCTCATTGTCAACTACAGAAACAAACACATGTAACTATTTGTGTGTCTCGGTAGCTTAGAACCAGTTCTCTGGGGGAAAAGGTTCATTAGCCCAGACCTTTGCTCTCAACTCCAGCTTCCCACTCCATCACCTCCCTGGTGATGCTTTACAGTATCCCACTTAGACTTCAGCCCCACCTCAGCAGCTCAGCTGCCTACCGGGCTCTGACCCCCTCCTGGTCCCATTTCTGCTCTTTGAAGGAACAATCCAAAGACAGCAGCTTTTTCAGTGGGAAAGGAAACAGCTAGGGACATAGATGAGACCCCAGTAAGGTGTCCAGGACTGGGCAACTCCTTCTGATGTCAAACACAGGTGTCATCTCACTGCGTCTCCATGGACATACCTGAGACACTTGAGTGTGGGAAGCTTTACCTGAAAACTGGCAAGCTGGACAGGATGAGGACTGTGGTGTATCTCCATGTTTATATTTTCTTTGTACGTGTAACATACAAGAAACACTAGGACTGGTGAGCCAGACCCACGCATGAGCAGATGACGACATCGGCCGTTCCACATCAGCATGGTTGCTTTTTGCTTTTTTCTTCCTTTTCAGCTAAAAATGAATGTCACCTAGAGAGGACAGATGGGTGCCAGCACTTCTGCCATCCAGGGCAGTCATCCTACATGTGCAGCTGTGCAAAGGGCTACAAGCTGGGCAAGGACCACAAGTCATGCAATCCAAGTGGTGAGTTTTTACAGAGGTAGGCCATCTCACCCTCCATGCCCCCTTCCTCCTGCCATCATGTTCACAGGTCAGATGGAGTGCTGTGGCTAGCGGGATGCAATTGCCTACTCGGGGTTCTGGCCTCAACATTAGAGCAACCGCTGTGCCAGAAGTGCTTTGTGTCAGGAGGCCTGTTATTCTATTGCCAAATTCCCCCCTAAATAAGCCTGGGAGCAGGCAGTGCAGCTTCACCTTGCTCCCCATGGCCACCATGACCTGTGTCTACCGGCATTCAGATGAGACTTCTGGCTAGCGCCACTGTAGACACCACATCCATTTGGAAAACACTGACTTTCTTCTTTGTTGCCATCACAAATGAAGACAAATGCGCCTGTGGGGCCCTGACTTCCAAAGACATCAAGACACCAGAAAGAAGCGGCCCGTGTCTACCTAGCTTCCCATGGCAGGTAACAGCATTCCATAACAGCTTTTGTTTTGTTGCAAACTTCATCTGTCACTTCCATTTTCTTGCCAAAAACTGGTGATGACCAAGTGAATTGGAAACAAACTCTTCACTGGGCTGCATGGGCCCTTGTGGAGCACAAACTCAGCTCTCTGCAGCATTTGCTCCACATTAGAAGTGTGCATTGGTTACAGCCACCAGGCTACACCATGTAGCCAATAGCCAATCTCTCTATTTGTGCCTAGTGCCACAACCCACCCCATGGGGACATGGTTATTTGTGCACGGCTTCTGATCAACCTAAGAGTTAAGTTAGCTCCATCATCCTGCCCTCCCCTAACAGTTCTGAGTCAGCTCCATCATCCTGCCTGCACCTAACAGTTCTGACTCAGCTTGGTTGATTTTCTCCTCAGTATGGAACATAGATCATGTTTATTTTTCTGCCTGGTGATTATTGACGAGTTGCAGACCTTGAGAGCTCTAACTCTCATTCGCTACAGAAAGCCTTGTGCTCTATAAACATGTTTGAATGATGCTCTGAAACGTGGTTAAGATACCTGGAAACAGCTTAATCCACTTGCTCCTTGCTTTTGGACTTTGCTGGGGAAGGCCAGTGCAGTGTTCTGAGTCAGTTGCTTCCCCTACAGACACAAGACCCTTCTGTGTTCTACCAAATGCTTGGCCATCTTTTCAACTGGCTGGCATAGCACACTCTTTCAGCCTTCATCAGCCCCAGAACTGTCCCCTCTGGCCCCATAGGGTAAGCTTCCCTGGCCTTAAGAAGTTTCCCTTCACAAATGCATATGCTCATCGTGACTACTGAAAACTGGCAGAGCCTGCAGCTCCCCGAAGTCCTCAACTTTAGGATCCATCCTACAACTGCAGCCACTGTGTCTCCCGGAGCTCTCCACCCCCTTGCCACTCTGTGGGCTCTGCCTGCTTACCCATCCTGGCCTGCGCCATGCAAACTCAGACATCGCAAAAGCTCTGGCCCTGAAAGATCATGACCCTGGTGACCAGCCCTTCAATTCTGTCTTTTCCTTGTTCTGGGTGGAGGAAAAATCAGACAGCCCTTACTCTTCCTTGGCCAAGAAGTTTCCTCTGAACCTTGGCTGAGGTGTCAGAGTGCTGGTAGCTGTAGAAGAGGCAGTGGGGTGGAGACACTGACTGACTTGTCCCTGGTACCCCAGTCTGCCACTCAGCTTTAATGTTCCCTCATCTTACACTGGCTACTAACAGCCATTTTCTGCTTTTTCAAAGGTCAAGTTAACAAATTCCAAAGGAAAGGAATTCTGTGGTGGTGTTTTAATACAGGAAGACTTTGTGTTGACAACGGCAAAGTGTTCATTACTACACAACAATATTAGTGTAAAAGCAAGTAAGTATTTCTTTCATGAATTGTATAAGATCTCATTATAAATAAAAGGAATAACCCAACAGGAATGAAATAGAAAATTTTCAACTAGAAATTCTGTTTCTAAAACAAGATATGAAATAGCTTCAGTAATACCAAGGTAGCTAAAAAATCACATGCATACACAAAACAAGACATAACTAGTAGAATGTGGACCCAGCAAGCCAGTGCTAAGTAGCATTCAGTCCAGGACATATCACAGCAGTAGAGCAACCACCTGGACATGGAGGGCTGGCTGAGGGCCAGAGGAGCTGGGTTCAAATCCCTCCTTCCTATAATCCTGGGCTGCAACCCTGTCTCATCTCGGGACGTATCTGTAGCCTCATTTTCCATCTCTAAAACCTGGACAGTCATTTCTCCCCACTGGGAAGTTCCTATCATCAGCTACGGGCGTGCTTAACAGGAAGTGTGAGCCTTGAAGTGAGCATGTCTCACTCTTTAAAGGGTTAAAGAGTGTTGTGTACAAACAAGTAGCTGAGACTCATCCTGAAAGAGCTAAATGCCTGATGAGAAGTCCTGAACGGCCATGTTCACACTGGCCTGGAGATGCTTCTTTTCACTGTCTCCTGTTTTCTCACAATCCCTCATGTGGTACTGTACTCCAGGATAAAACTTTGACTTTTTTAGAGGTCAGTGTAAAGTGGCCGAGGATGTGATTTGACCTGGCCCATTCTATGATCTGAATCTAAGACCCGGAAGGGCCGGGTGTTGGTGGCGCACGCCTTCAATCCCAGCACTCAGGAGGCAGAGGCAGGAGGATCTCTGTGAGTTCGAGGCCAGCCTGGTCTCCAGAGCAAGTGCCAGGATAGGCTCCAAAGCTATACAGAGAAACCCTGTCTTGAGAAACAAAAAAGAAAGAAAGAAAGAAAGAAAGAAAGAAAGGAAGGAAGGAAGGAAGGAAGGAAGGAAGGAAGGAAGGAAGAAAGAAAGAAAGAAAGAAAGAAAGAAAGAAAGAAAGAAAGAAAGAAAGAAAGAAAGAAAGAAAGCCCCGGAAGAACGCTGCCTCTGCCCGGAAGGGTTTCACTGAGATCAGCTCCTGGAGGCTAGCTAGCTGTTGTGCCCTTGAAAACAAGACTTTGTAAGTTGGTTTGTTGCTCCTGGTTTCAGATGCTGGCTGGAGGATTGGGGTCAGGAGTACTCATGTGCACATGCGCTATGAGGAGGAGTCGGGAGAGAACGACCTATCTCTGCTGGAGCTTGAGAAGCCTGTGCAGTGTCCCGACTCCGGGCTCCCTGTCTGTGTCCCGGAGAGGGACTTTGCAGAGCGTGTCCTCATCCCTGAGACACTGGGTCTCCTCAGTGGATGGACACCCAATGGCACAAGCCTGGATGCCACACCGACGGTGATTCCAGTCACACATGCAGATAGGGAAGAATGTGGACAGACGCTGAATGTGACCGTCACAACCAGAACAAGCTGTGAGAAGGCCATCGTGGTGACTGGGCCTTGGATGGAGGGAAGTGTGGTGACCCGAAAACACAAGGGGACCTGGTTCCTCACAGGGATCCTAGGTTCGACACCACCACCAGGGCAGTCGCACGTGCTCCTCACCACAGTTCCAAGATACTCAATGTGGTTTAAACAGATTATGAAGTAACTGCAGTCCAACAACATGGCTACAAGATGGTCAGGTCCTGCCACAGTTACCATTGGAAAACAATGTCTCTTTCCTTGGAACTTTATAGTTTTCTTTGAGAATTTGATACATACAATGAAATATGACCACATCCATGCACCATTTCCCTTCTCCTGCTTGCCTTATATGCCCCTCAACACGTCCCTCCCATGTGTCATTTGTTGATAACCCGGTAAGTTCTGTTAGTGCTACCTCAAGTGCACATACGTAACGATGAGGAGTTGGGGGAGCACCTCACTGCTGTAGCTAGAGAAGCTGGCTCCAGCTACCTACGGCGTACTGTGGGGCCATCCACTGGAGCGCCCTCAGAAACAAATGATTTTCCCTCCCCCAGCAGCTATCAACTGCCAACAGCTCCTCAGTAAGGAGTGGGACACAGAGTGCACGCCAACCCAGCCCATCCATGCCAGCATCTTGTCTGGCCTGACCTTGTGCAGCCTTGACAGGTCACCACAGCGGCTGTGGGTCTGTAAGTGAAATCATGCTATGTCCAGCAGACAGCATCTCACGCCACCCGGCCCCACTTTTCAGCTGGTATGTTCTTCCCGCTTCTCTTTCACAAAGATCCCTGGGTGTTGGTAGAGGAGGAGGTGAGGGTGCAAGGTGATGGGTAGAGCTAAGATGTTTCACTTCCGACTGGACAGTCTCTTGTTCCCCAGCACCTGAACCAATCATGCATCTTTGCATTGATTTTCGCCTGTTATAAAAAGGTGATTCTCCTGCCAAGTTGGAGAAGAGTCCAGATCTATAGGTATAAACACAAATATTTAGAACATGATTTTTAGCACAGCTGTTTAACAAGGTAACAACAGCAGCTTCTACCCTAGAGCCTATGACCAGCCCAGCCATGAGCTTTTCACCAGGATTATAGTTCCAAGCATAAAATTCCTCCTGTGGAACAGGCCTCAAATTCAACCGGAAAGCAGTTATCTCCATAATAGCTATGCCATAATTGCACCAGGGGACACATCTTGCCTGCATGTCAGTATTGTGGATTCAGGGTCCAGCATTGGGCCCCAATGCCTTTGTCTACCCTGCAGCTGACACAGTGTATTCTAGCACAATTAAAGTTAGCTGGAAGGGAGAGTTTCCTTGGTAATGTTTATCTAAGGCCTTAAGGGGGAAAACATAGGGTGTGTTAAATAAAATCAATGTCAGGCATAAACCAGCTGAGTTACTTAGTGGAAACTGAGTGGTGAGGGGCTGTGAACACAGGTGGTTGTGTCACTCTTGGTCCAACACACACTAGAGCAGACATCTCCAGAACAGAGGTGTTCCAGAATTACCAGTGAGACAAAAAGACAGGCTAACTCTAATTGTGCATGGTTCACTGCTGGGGAGAGAGAAGCAGGTTTAGTATTGGAAGACAACATAGGCCTCTTCATAAGGCTATTCCTAGACACTCTGGGTGAAGAAAAACCCCTCGGCAGGTTCCAGGGAGTGCTAGAGCCTCTCAGCTCAGCCATGTGGTCAGTGAGGCTGTGCCTGGGTACCCTCATCTCTGAGAGGAGTGTGGCTATGATGATGTGTCTCTGCCTTTAGTCCCAGGACTTAAGAGGCTAAGACAAGAAGGTCTCACATTTGGAGACAGCCTGGGCAGCAGAATAAGACCTTATCTCAAAACACAAATCTAAGAGGTTAGACCAGTGTACACCTAGGCAAGGATGAGGTGTGAGCATTTGATGCTGATATAAACTAGCCACAAGGACAGATGGGTCTGTGTGCCCACAAACCACAGCTTCACACATAGGACTTGAGACAGCACACAAAATGCTACACGGAGCCGGGCGTTGGTGGCACATGCCTTTAATCCCAGCACTTGGGAGGCAGAGGCAGGCGGATCTCTGTGAGTTCAAGGCCAGCCTGATCTCCAGAGCAAGTGCCAGGATAGGCTCCAAAGCTACACAGAGAAACCCTGTCTTGAAAAAACAAACAAAACAAAACAACAACAACAACAAAAAAAAAGCTACATGGGGGTTATCTCTTTATCTAATAGTTCAGCTATTTATCACTTTAAACCATCAGTGTTTGACTTGGGATGTCACTGTTTAATAAACTACCTGTGGACGCCTGAAGTTTTGATTGTGTTGCTGCTAAACCTGGAAGAATGGACTTCAGGATGCTCATACAAGGCCAATGTTTGAATCATTGCACAGACACACATTATCAGAAGTTGGGGTGCTTAAGCACCCCGCTGAATAGCAGAGTCAGCTCTGCATGAGGGCAGTGCCAGACATGTACACAAAGGAGACAGGAAGGCAGGCTCAGCCTGGTGGAGCTCACCAACTCTGCCAGTTGGGGGCCATATCCACTGCCAGGCAGCTCCTCTGCACACCAGGCTGCTGGTTGAGCATGACCAGGGACATACAGCCCACAGGGATATGCTGCTCTGCAGCCAGTGTGTGGCATAGATGGTATTCTCAGTGGCAGAACTCATAACACAAGGTCACACAAGGGACCGCTTCCTTGGACCCTGTCCTGGAACCCAGCTTCAGCTGCCATGAGGAGAATCTGAGCTGTCCACTCACATCCCACCAAGCCTGGTGTGTACAAATTCACACATATCACAGCAGTGAGATACCTTCTAGACCCCAGGACCATATTCCCCATCACATGGAGCCAAAACCCACCAAATGCTGACCAGGCTTCAGATTTGGGCAAACACAGGATGCTGGTGTTGCAACACAAGTCCTGGGTGGTTTTGCTGCTGCAGGAGGGTGCTGATGAAGCAATCACATACAAGGCCTCTGTGTCCCCATGGGGAAGGACATCTGCGTTCCACCACAGCTCATCTGCACAAGGACAGCTCCTCAACATGACAACTCCGAAGAAGAGAAAAGTTAGCTTTTCTTCCTTATTGCATTTCTCATCAACAAGGGGAGCAGAAGCCTCCCGTGGTGATACACCTGCAATCCCAAGCACTTGGAAGGGGACACAGAGGCAAGAAGTGCATCATGTTCTAGGACAGCATGGTGGACTCGGAGCTCCAGACAAGCCAGCTCATGTGAAAAGACCCCACCTCGATAGAAAATAATAAACAAACAACACAACAAACATACAAACAACACCACCGGCACACAGAGGAAGTGTACACTCTTAAGAAGCAGGAAGGTGTCCAGTGCGGGAGGCCAGAGGAAGGGGCTCTACAAGTGGTTCAGTTAGGTGCGGCTGCAGAGTGAGGGCAGGCCTGACAGCACAGTGGCCGTAGGAAAAGGAAGAGGCAGAGGACAGCGACTGTGGCTCAGAAGGGGCCATTACCAGAGCCCAACTGCCAGGCCTTGGTCCCAGGCCCACAGCCTTCAGAACCGTCAGGAAATGAGCACAGAGCTGAAAAACTTACACCAGACTAAATTCTGTATTTCTAAAAAAGAAGATTTATTGACTTTTGTGTGTCTGTGTGCCTGAGTGAGACTTTTGTGTGTCTGTGTGCCTGAGTGAGTTTATGTGCACCTATGTACAGGAGCCCACAGAATTCACAAGAGGGCACTGGATCCCCTACAACTGAGTTCCAGATGGCTGTGAGCTACCATGTAGGTGCTGGGAACCAAACCCACGTGCTCTGATGAGGGGGAGGGGTAATTGTTCTAACCAATGAACCATCCCTCCAGCCCCAAATTCCACTTTTAAAAAAAGGAGTCAAGTTAACCAAGCATTTTGAGCTCACAAGATGCTCACATTTTGCATATGAAAATAGACGTATAATGTAACATACATTAAGAATGTGTTTTGTATAAATTTTGATTATCTTAAAAAAAAAAGCTACAAAATGTTACAAAGACAGCCTCCATAAACAACACATAAACTAAAGCACAGCTGCTGCTTCCCAGGAGTTCATTAGCAGCAGCCAAGAGTTGTCTGTCTGTCCATTCAGAAAAAGGATTCCAGGTCCATGGAGAACATGGCTAGACATGTGTGCTAGCGACTGTCTCCAGGGCCCTGGGGAAACACGAAGACTTGGGCTCCAGAGGACAGCTGTAGTGGGATGCACTCTGTCTGCAGGTCATCAGCACACTGTAGACAGTGGAGGGAAAGGGTTTTGCTTGCTGACAACCAGTTTCTGATGCTGATGGGAGATGTAGCCTTTAATGTGACCCTGAAACAGAGAAAACCGGATCAGCTTCCACTTCTGAGTCTCAGTCACATCAAATATGCCAGGTGACACAACAATGATGAAAACCACTCTTCCCTGGGGATAGCAGCTTAACAAACACATATGGCAGAGAATATGAAATATAGGTTATACCGCTCTCTCACACTGACCCATGTGAGGCCCTTTGAATAGTATTTCCTGGGAAAACAATTAGTTATATCAGAAAATGCCTTCACAAATACAACAGGTCTTTTGACATAATCGCCACACTAAATAGAAGTCTTTTGGTGAAACTGGCACCACACTAAATGGAAGTCTTTTGGTGACATTGGCGCCACACTGAAGCCTGCTGAGAGCAGGCAAAGACTCACATACCATGTATATCAAGTTGGCCAGTATGCACTGGACTTCATCAATGTCCACATCTTCCACATGCATGAATTTCAAGGCCACCAGAAAGGCATCTAGAGATAGCTGATGAGTTTTGAGTAACAAATACCTATGGAGGAAGAGAAATTACCATAATTAACAGCAGGACTCAGTACTTCAAGGATCAACAGGAGGAACCCTGAGCTGGTTAATAAGAAATGACATCATTTAGTGAACCAATGAACACACATATTTTAAGTTGCCACCAGCTAGATATATCCTAAAACATACCCCACAAGCAACAGCTATTAAACACAATAGTATGTAAGCTTCCTACTATAAACAGACACTGTACAAAGGAATGTTTTAGATATTTCCTAGCTATACACAAGGACTCTATGCCTCTGATAGACAGTGTTCAGCTCACACACAGGAAAAGGAACCACCACATGTAACTCCCTGACACTCAGTGGTGGGGAGGATAAGCCAGCTGCTGTGCTAGAAAAGGCTAGAGGACATCAATCCCACAGCTCGGACAGGCAGGTGTCTGGCACTCCAAGCTAATGGTGAGTCTGCTCCAAGCTCTGCCATTATACCAGCCTTCAGGGTCAGCCTGTCCCATGAGGGGCAGGATGCTGCCCCCACAGGCTGCAACAGCCTGCACCATATGCCCCAAGGGTTCCATTTGCCAGACACTCCACTTTCTTTTTTGCCTCTGTGTGTGTGTGTGCCTGTGTGTGTGCCTGTGTGTGTGTGTGTGTGTGTGTGTGTGTGTGTGTGTGTGTGTGTGTGTGTGTGTGTGAGACAGAGACAGAGAGAGACTGCAGGTGTGTGTAGAGTTCAGAGAACAACCTCACCTGTCAGTCCCAGCCTTCCACCTTGCTGATAAGGGTCTCCTTATTGCTACTGTTTCATACCTCATAGGTGAGTTGGTCTGCAAGCTTCCAGTTTTTACACAGATTCTGGGGTTCAAACCCTGGTCCACAGGTTTGCAGAACAGCACTTTGCCCACTGAGCGTCTCCCCAGGCCCACTCACACTTTCTTGAAGAGGTTCCTGTAAGTGATGATCTTCAGCTTCTCCAGGATGAGGAAAATGCCACAGCGGATGAAGAAAGTCTCGTGCTTTGCCAGCGCCTCGTTGAGCAGCAGCAGATTGCCCTCACTGGGCAAGGAGAAACACCACATGGGCCACAGAGCAAAAACCCAGAGAGAGAGGTCAACAAGGTTTAAAGTACGACACATGTGCAGTCTCTGTTAGCCTCCTTCTTAAGACAGTGCAGAGGATGGACCTACCTGACGGCCTTGGTCACTTCCGAAAACTGCATAAGGTGGTATTTCCTCAGGAGCTCGATGGTCGGCATGTGACCCTAAATCAGAGAGTCAGCATTCCATAACAGAACACTTCACTTGGAAGAAATGTTTACACAGTATGTCTGGGTGTGTATGCTACACGTGTGCAGGGGCCCAAAGGCCAGACCAGGACATCTGATCCCCTGGAGCTGGAGTAACAGGTAGTTATGAGCTAACCGACATGG